ACACACACACACACACACACACACACACACACAATGGAACAGAAACACTGTCAGTCCCACACCATCCTGTGACTGGCTGCAGATCAAAGCACAGGATTTTCAGGGGCTGATATTTGGAAGCAGGCCTTTCTCCAAGGCTCTGTTGGTCTAGAGGTCCTGCCAAAATCTGGTCTGTATCAGCCACATGTAAGCTTACCCTGACAAATGAGCAGGGGCTTAATGTGAAGGACGCTGGCTGGAAAACAAACCCTGCTCTCCTACTTGGGAGACGTGAATTCTTTCACTGAACCACCACACCAGAGAAAGCAGACCAAAAGATGTCCTCATGGTAGTGAAATGACAGCTCAGAGAGTAAAGACAGCTTGCCCAAGGTGCACGTGGCAGAGTTAGGATGCACATTCAGGTCTGTTAAACACCAGAGTCCAGGCACTGTAGAGCATTCCTAGGAGGACAATGAGCAAGATGCCCCTTGTGCTCAAGCCAACAAATAAGGCGGGGGCGGGGGAGGGGAAACATATCTGTATGAAAATTTTCAAGAGCAGCTAATAAACTCAGATCTAAGGTGACTCCAAGTGAAGTGGAAGTTGCTGTCTAGAAAATGTCTCCTAGCTTTCCTGAGAGAAGACTTAGCTGGGACTCCTGCCACTGTGGCACCAACTTCACCTCTCAAGTGAATGAACAATGGAAATAAAGTAGGCACCTGGGACCTCTTACAAAGTGAACTCTTAGGTGCACCAAAAAACCCTAACTAAAAGAGTGAAAAAGAGAACCTACAGACTTGGGGCGGGGGGAGGATTCACAGTGATACTTCTGACAAAGAAGCTCTAAAAATATATAGAATGCTTCACCATCTCCACAATAAAATAAATCCATTAAAAATGAGGAGGGGACTTGGACACGTCAGGTGATTAATACACATATGGGAAGATGCAAGGGAGCATTAGACATTCTCTTGTTCATTGCCATCAAGTCAGAACTGACTCAGATCGGACCCTCCATTGGACTTCCGGGGCTATAAAACTGCACAAGAGAAGGCTGTCCGTCTTTCTCCTGCAGAGCTGCTGCTGTAGTCCAACCACCACAGAGGTGTGACCTTGGGGCTAGCAGCACAACTCTTTACAGACTACACCGCCAGAGCTCCCTCTCTATTAGCCACTGTGGTTAGATGCCATCAAATCCACTGCAATTCCTACAACCCTATGAACAGCAGGTCAGAATCTTACCTGATCTCTCCTGCACCACTCTCGTGATCTCTGATATGCCCGTGCCCACTGTGGTCGCCACTGTGTTGATGCATCTCATTGAGGGTCTTCCTCTCTTTGCTGACCCTATCCCTTTCTCAGCATGATGTCTCTCTCTGGGACTGGTTCCTTCTAAAAATATGCCCAAAGTAAAGGAAATGAACTTTCACTATCTTTGCCTCCAAGTACTCTGGTTGCATTTTCTTCCAGACATATTTGTTTGTTCTTTTCGCAGTTTATGGGATAGTGAATACTCTTTACAACACCCAATCCAAAGGCATTGCTGCTGCTTCTGTCATTCTTATTCATTGCCCAACTTTCAGATGCATAGAAGTAATGGGATATACCATGGCTTGCATCAGGTGCACCTTAGTCTTTACATAAGCATCTTTGCTCCTTAGAACTTTGAAGATGCCCTTGACAATTTTTTCTAATATAACATATGTTTTTATTTCTTGAATGCTGATACCAACGGTATTGATTGTGGATCCATGTAAGATGAAATCATTGACAATTTCCATCTATCATGATGTTGTCTGTTGGTCCAGAAGCATTAAAATCTAGAGTCTTTGATCATCTGAAGCAAGTGCTTTGAGTCCTGTTCACTTTCAGTAAGCAAGGTTATGTCATCTGCTCAGTGCAGGTTGTTGAGTTTTCCTCCAGTCCTGACGCCATATTCTTTTTCATATGAAGAATGATTTGTTTCAAATTATTTGTTTAGGAAATTAAATGTATGTAGAAAGGATACAATCCTGGCACCCACCTTTCCTGATTTTATACCATGAATTGTTCCCTTGTTCTTTTCAGACAGCTGCATCTTGATCTGGGTTTAAGTTTCACATGAGTACAATTAAAGCGTCCTGGGATTCTCATTCTGTTCAATGGTTAACTGTAACTTACTAAGATCCACATAATCAAATGCCTCTGCATAGTCAATAAAACACAAGCAAACAACTTTCTGGTTTCTCTCCTTTCAGCCAAGATCAATTAGTCAATCTTGTTCCTGTTGTTGTTGGGTGTCATTAGGTCAAGCATAACCCATAGTGATCTATGAACGAAGGATCTGAATCTAACCCTCTCCTGTGCCATCTCATTACCTCTGACATACTTGGACCCATCGTTTCAGTCACAGTGTCAACCCATCTTCTTTAGGGTTTTCCTCTCTTTTGCCAACTCTCTATCTTTGTAAGCATGATGTTCTTCAACAACTGGTCCCTCCTAACAACATGCTCACAGTATGTTGTACAAAACTTTATCATCTTCACCTTTAAGGAGAATTCTGGTTGCATGTCTTCCAAGTCATGTTTGTCTGTTCTTTCTTTTGGTGGTCCATGGGATATTCAGTACTCTTCTCCATACCACAGCTCAAAGACATCTTTTTCTATCACCCTTATTCATTGTCCAACTTTTGGATGCATAATAAGTAATTGAGAAAACTATGGCCTGAACCAGGTACACTTTAGTCTTTAAACTGATGCCATTGTTCTCAGCTCTTCAGAGAGGTTCTCAATAGAAGACTTTTTCAATGCAACACATCTTCCAATATCTTTACTACTGGTACCAAGCATGCTGATTGTGCATCCAAGCAAGATGAAATCATTGACAATGTCATTCTTTCCTCCATCTATCCTGACGGTGCCTATTGGCCCAATAGTGAGTATTTTTGTTTTTCTGATCTTGAGATAGAATCCATATTGAAGACTGTAATCCTTGATCTTTTGCAGCAAGTATTTCAAATCCTCCTCATTTTTAGCATGTAAGTTTTGCATGATGCAAGTTATTGATAAGTCTTCCTCTGATCTTGATGTCACATTCCTCTTTATAAAATGAGTAGAGAGAAGCAAATAAAAATAACACACCAGGGCAGCTCAGGAGAAAGATGAGCAGTATCCTCCCATGAGATTTAAAACCTTGCAAATTAAAAAAAAAAAAAAACCTTGCAAATTCAATGAAGAGTCACTTGTAAAGACATTCTGACTCGACAACAATGAATGTTTTTAAAAAATGTTTTGACAGGTGGGAGAGTAAAAGAGGAAAAATCACTAACTTCTTGTTATTGAGTACTGTCAAGTTATAACTGACTTATAGGTGACCCTCGAGCAGTTCTTCAAAGGCTATAAATCACACAGGATGAGAATTGCCAATCTGCCTTTCGTGGAGGAGCTGGTGGATTCGAACTATGGACTTACACGTTGACAGCACAATTCCTTATTACTAAACCTCCAGAGTAGTTAGCGTATTAACTTGAGGACAGGAAAGGTGATATAGAATGAGGAGAAGGTCCCCACAATATGACCAAGGCAAGAAATTACTGGAAGGTGCCTAAGCAAACATAGCTACTATATGTGCACGATCCTGCAATACAGAAATAACAAACAATAATCTGCAATAATATGCAGACATACAAGTTGAACATGTATGGGGAAATGAAAACTACTACTCTTACAAGTGCATTTAGATTTGGCAGAGGATAGGTGTTGTTGTTGTTGTTGTTGTTGTTGTTATGTGCCGCCAAGTAGCCTGCAACTTATAGTGACCCTACATAAAACAGCCCTAAACCATGCCCTATCCTGTGCCAATCTTATTGTCTCTGACACACCTACCCCCATTACACCTGTCAAGGAATCAATCCATCTCATCGAGGGTCTTCTCCTGCACTGTCCCTCCCAAGCATGACCTTCCCTCTCCAAGGAATGGTTCCTCCTTGTAACATGTCCAAAGTATGTTAGATGAAGAGAATCCTTGCCTCCAAAGAGCAACCTGGTTTCACCCTCTCCAGGACAAATCTGTTCATTCTCTTAGCAATCCATGGTATATTCAACACTCTTCTCCAACACCACAGCTCAAAGGCACCAATTCTCCTTCTCTCATCCCTAGTCATTGTTCAGCTCTTTGATGCATAGCAAGTGATTGCAAAGACCATGTATCAGGCACATCTTAGTCTCCAGGTGTACATAAGAATTTGTATGTGCAGCAAATATATCCATGTATACAGCAGAGCTTATAGGGGTAAATTCATGAATGCTCTGCTATATGCTTCACTTGATATAACTGCAACACATACAAAGTTATCAGATAGCATTTGTCTTCCTAAAGAATCTCCATCAGACCCAGAAAATATTAAACCCTTCAAACAGTGAAAAGAATGAGTGGCTCCCTGACAGCAAAGACAAGACTTGGTCAGACAGCTCGTGACTTGATACGCTGATGAGAAGCTGCAGAGCACTGGAACTCAGTTCAGTGGATAGGACTACCCAGAAAAGCAGACTGGGCTCCTGCAGAGACAACCCTTTCACAAGGAAGATACAGGGTAAGTGTCCTGTCAACGGTAGTGCACTGTGGGGGACCTTCTAGCTCTAGAGGTCAAAAGTTCTGCTGTCAGAAACTCAGTGTGGGATTCTGTCCCAATGAAGAGTCCACAGAACAGAGTCCCCTAATCCAGCAGGCTCACTCTCTACCCAGGGAAAGGCAGTGAGCCTTGTCCTGTAAGACTGACCTACTGTCCCAACAGAGACAATAAGGGCATCTGGACAGGAGGTGCTCAGGATACTTGAGATTGGCCTAGCAGGTGGAGTAGACTAGAGGACACAGCCCCACTAGCATAGGCCACCTTCTTGTTGTTGTTGTTGTTATGTGCCGTCAAGTTGCCTACGACTCATAGCAACCCTATGTAAAACAGCCCTAAACTCCGCTCTGTCCTGTGCCAATCGCACTGTCTCTGACACTCCCATCCCCATTATCTCAGTCACTGAATCAATCCACCTCATAGAGGGCCTT